GTCAAAATTCAAACCAATGTACCGTTATTTTCTCTATTTATTAATACTTGTTTTGGCGATTAATTGGTAAAAGGCCTTCGTATCGTCCTAATTATTTTGTTTGTAATCATACTCGTAATCAAGTAACTCATACAGTCGCCTCGACCGCAGCAATGGCGGTCACATTTCTTGTCGATTAAAGAGCGAAGTTTCTCGTTCTTGACTTCGACAGAATTCTGTGTTCATCAACAATGATCAAATGAACCTTTTCTAGGACTGCATCCAGACCAGTTATTTTTCAAGTATTGAATTCAGGTGATTATTTCATCGAAAATCACGCTTTATTGAAAACGTTTATTTAAGCTAAATTTAGCACATCTGCTTGACAGTAATTAAATTGAGCCCGATCAAATGGTCGTGTTTCGCCAAGTAGGGATCAGTATATATTGCAGTGGGAGCCCTGGGTTCGACATTAACATCAATATTGTGGAAAATTGTTGCTTAGAACTTAAGTTTGATAGTTAAACCTTAAGAAAAGTCTGGTGGGCCAAGGTAGGCCCCGCTGTTTTAACGGTCAAAATCATCGGACTTGAAGTTGGTTCTTTTTCATGATTTTTCGTACCTTTTCCATTTAGCAGCATTTTACCTAGGAGTCGATGGCGTGATTCCTACCGATGTGTTACAATGGAACCGGCCGTTAACACGGTTACCAATGGCCACAAAAATTTGGCCGTGTTAACGGCGTAGGGTCAGATTTCATAACCGATCTAAATTATATTGAGTGATGTCTTAACAGATATGTCACATTTAAAAAGATTGAAACTTGAATCACTACATGAGAATATTAACAATGGAATCAGGAGAGATGAACATAACTGGTTTGACTGGCTGCAGAAACGGGGTAAAATTACAAAGGATTATACAGGTTGGGATTTCAGAATGTGCCGTTGGTCGTATTCATGGAGTGGCTGCATTAACGGGGTTTGATTATAAGTAAATGTATGGGCACTTCGCTGGGACGAAAAAACGAGGTGACCGTAACTGGGTTCCGCTGTATCACTAAAATGTATAATTTGTGGCTCAGATTTGTTCTTTTTATATTGTAATGTTTCCTTGTTCAATTTATTTTCATAGTTTGTATATCTTCCATTTGTTTGGTCGATATTCAACATGCCTACAGACACTCCAACAAGAAACACACCAAACAAGCCACGATTTAACAAATTGATGCCAGTTTTTTATGCGTCTGCCCTCTTATTGATGATATATTGCGTCATAACATTGTCAAAGTGGCTGTGGAACCATGAGCCGCGGGGCGAGTGGTTCAGCAGTAAACTTTGACAACGTTATGACGAAATTTATCATCAATATGAGGACAGGCGCATAAAAAAAACTGACGTCAATTTGTTTTTTACAATAACAAGACCCCAAAATGGCCAAATGCCGAGAATAAATGAGGGAAGAGACGCTGTAAACTTGCCGTAAACAAAGATAAGTGAGTTTTATTCAAAATGACGCCAACATTGTCAATATCTTTTCCCGCTTTTTGATTGGCTACTTAAAAAAGTCCATAAAATCTCATTGGCTAAAAAGTTAACAGTTTGACAGCTGAAAGTTGAACTTGAAAGCTTGCATAAATTAAAATTTTATCCGGCTGTACTCTTATTGATGATAAAAATAAGCCAATCCGGGGCACGATAAATTAGACAGTTATTGTAAAAAAACTGCTTCTCTTTGAACTCCCACATTTTTCGTAATTGTTTGGTTTCCACTTGAAGTTAGTAGTAGTGGGAGAATATTTAAACAATAGCCTCCATATTTGGCGAGAAAAAAATGCTCGGATATTTGTTCGCGGACATTATCTGTTCCGAAAGGCGTTTTGTGAGCTTTTTCCTCCAAAACTGTCCATTCCCCTGATGTTTGCCTCCATCCAGTGCCAAACAACTCCGCTAGTCGAAAATTTTGGCTCAAAAACACGCGAACGACGACACGTTCTCGGCACGCATGCTTTACCCATAATGCGCGAGTGCTGGAGAGATGTCAAATCGAGGCTAGCCCGACCCAGACCTCCAGCCCTCCAGCAAAGCAGGCATGAGCTTTGATATTTTCGAGCAATTCTTATCAAAGTTCTCTCATAATTTCACTATTTACTTCACTTTGGGGCCTCGCTGGGCCCAGAAAGGAATGAATGCTGCCAACAACGAAGGATGCTGACCTGTCTCAGGGGTCAAACGTGCACGAAAGAGAAACAAACGTGGCGGAAAACGGTGTTCCAAGGAAAAAACGACGATTGAGTAACAACGTCAAGAACGGAACGTGTAAGACATCTCCCGATCCTCTGCAGAGTGAGTTGAATTTTCATCCTCACAAGAAACAAAAGACAGTGCTTCCTGCGGAAGGCGTCGAAAACGCGGATTCCTCGATGGCCGAGCCGCAAAGAAAGGCAAATTTCTCTGCCTACGGAAATCATTTTCATGAGCGCTCTCCTCTGGCGAATAATTCTGCCAAGCCGGGCCAGGCTAAGAAGCTCGTTATAAAAAACTTTAAAGGTAAGAGTGAAGTTTTTCTTTGATTAAAGAGAGAAGAGTCCGTAAAGATCGTCATGCCGCCAAAGAAACTATTCGCGAAAGTAATAAATGAAATTGTTTATTTCCTTCATTGTGCAGCGATGCTTCGTTTTGTGACAAAAACAACAGCAATGCTTCGACTAAAGCGGTTGTGAGATGTCCTGCAAATTTAATCACCTGTATTCTTTACTTACTTGTTGCTTTTATAACGTTCTGTTAGATTAATGCGACTCGCAGTACCAATTTCCAGAGAAAGACCATTTGTATTCATCATAAACATGAAACGATGAAACGAACCGTTCGCAGTTTACCTCTGTTTATTCCAAATTTGATTAGAATAGATCAGCTCGATTCCGTTCCCATTCCACTAGCTTAACCAGATACAAGCAAACAAGTGATTGCAATTTTGTTGAAATCATCCGAACTGTTTTCACGGGGTGTTCTGTACAAGTTTCATCCAAAAAGGGCTGTGTGTACATCGCAGACCCAGATGCATTAACGTAAACAAGATCTGTCTGAATTTAATATTGTGATTTCTTGACTTAACAATCACAGAAATTATTTCACCTCAGTGACCATACAGTCCACAATAGTGTACAATGCAAAAGAAAATGCATTGTTCTCTGTCCTGGCTTCCCGTTGATCTAGTTCATATTCAATATTATGATGTCCATGTAGTTATGTACTGTATCTTGTATATCTAAATGTCAATATGTAATTAATAATGGTAATAGGACTGAGTGGAGTCCAATTCAGTCTGTAATCATATGAGTGAGTAACAAAATCAGACGACCGCGAACCAGGAGTCCGATTTGTTAATCAAGAGTATGATTACAGACTGAATTGGACGCCACTCAATCCTATTACCATTATTAATTACATATTGACATTTAGATATACCAATTCATCAAAACTATGACAAAGTTCTAGAAATGAACAAACCATCGATTGAGCGCTGAATGATTAAACGTCGTTATGGATGCTGAAAAACACAGCAGTTTACTCAACAATGGTACATACTGTCCAATTACACAGGCATGACATGTATGCTGTCCTATTACAATGTCCTATTACACTGTACAAGCATGACGTGTACACTGTCCAATTAATGCTCAAATCGGGCTGCTGATAGCCAATCACGTTCGAGAATTTTGATATAGTTTTGATTAATTAAGAAATAGAAAAGAGTATCTTTTGATTAACGATTTCTAATTACTTTTTTACATATTAAAATCAGTTAACATTAAGCGTCAACCCACCCACACACAACCGCTCTCATGTGGCTTTGATACACCTGTAGCTCAGTTGGGAGAGCATTGTACTGGTATCGCAAAGGTTGTGTGTTTGAATCCCAATCAAAGCCCGAAAATTTTTTCAGGTCTTTTCGCCAGTAGTGTTATGGCTGCATTCGCATCTATCATCATGTCTACATTAAAATCATTGTTAACTTAAAAATTAAGCAAAATCAGTTGGGAATTGAATTGTTGTTTGAAACTTGCTTTGTTTGCTGTTCATGTGATCACGAGTACATTGAAAAATTTTGATGTTTTAAAATGGCATAACAGTCAATTTCTTTTCTTTAGTGTTCTTGGGTATCAAATTATCCAGTAATATTTCTAAATCTTCTTTGAAACATCGAAGAATCAAGACCTCCAGTCACTGCATGCTAATTAACAATTATTAGATTATGAACTTGGGATTTCTGTGACGTGGTAGTTGATGAGGTTGAACAGGGGCTTCATTGAGGATTAACAATGGTCATACTGTACTATGGCAGTAAAAGTACTTCCTCTTCAATCATTAGGCTCTTTGCAGCTACAACATCACATGACCTACTTTTCATAAAATTATGGGCTATCACTTAAAGATTGCTAGAAGTGGAAAAAGCATGTCGAAAATATCAAAATGGCAAAGTTTGAGGCCCCTGGCATAAAGAATGAGATTTTGTGACGATTTGAATTGTTAAGGAAAGTACACTGCAAGAAGATTTGTACGGAAAAAGTTGTTGGAGAGCAAGGCTTTGCTCTCCAGCAACATTTTCCATACAAATCTTCTAAATTTTCCAAAAATTCAAACTGTCATATAAACTTACTGTTTATGCCAGGGCCCTCAAACTTGGCAATGTTGCTATTTTTGACATGCTCTTTTTATTTCTGGCATTCGTTAAGTTACAGCCCATAATATAATTTTTTTAGCACAAAATTCTGTTACCTTAGCTGCAAAGGGTTTATTGTAATGAGGGGGACATGGGGCTTTGGAGTACTGCGGTGTTGATTGTTTTTCTGATGCAGCGAATACAGTCCCACCTTGCAGTGTTGTGGTGATCTCTAACTGCGGTATGCGATGTTTGTTTTTCATGCTACGGTGTTCGGTGAAATGAAATTGTTTGTGGTGCAGGGGGTTTCTTGTTTGACCTTTCTCAGGCCTTTCTTTAGCATGTAAACTTCTTTAATCTGTGCAATTTACAGTTGTATAGCAAGTACATACCATTGTGTTTAAAAATCCAATCCGAAGCTGATTTTGACCTTTACAGGCATCAGCAGTATCAACACACAGGCAATTGTGTTTATTTTGTGGAAAATTGTTGAGGTGTAAAAGCATTATGTCAAGTGTCTAGAAATTTGTATCATGGGGCTAAAAATATATGTTGCAGTGACAGTGTTTTATCAACTTGGTGATGCAGTGTTTGCTAATTTTTTTGGCAGTGTACGGTGTTCAAAGCCCTCCATGTCGCCCTCTGTAAGGAAAAGTAGTTGGAGTTGAACTAGTCATTCCAAACAGATCTTAATCCAAAGTCTTTTTGTTCTTGCAGCCAAGCCACATCTACCAGAAAACTTCAAGGAGGCAACATGGCAGAAATTAAAAGAAGCTGTCCAGGCAATTCACAAAAAGACATTTGTCATTTACAGTTCTGAAGAACTTTATAAGGCTGTTGAAAACATGTGCTCACATAAAATGGCTGCAACATTGTACGACTTGCTGAAAACAGAGTGTGAATCTCACGTGAAGTCAAATCTTCAGCAGTTTGTTTGATATCCTTTGTGATTTTTATATTTGATTCTTACCACTGAAGCTTGCCTCTGTTTCCATAGCACTACCCTTTAAGCCCCAGAGAAAAACCTGATTTTTCTAAAATGAAAATGATAGATCGAAAGACCACAAGTAATATACCATTACCGTAATATATTAGGGTACGTCCTAAATCACCACAACAGACATACAAGATGTCACAAATTGAATTGAGGAGTCTACAAAGTAAAAAGAATGAAAACATTCAAAAAATAATTTTAATACTCTTAAGTTATTCCTCGTATATATTGGGTATACCCCTAAAACAATAGCTTACACCCAATTTGCAGCTCTGGGTGTGCAGATTTTTATCAGATATTCACTTGACTGTAAAATTGTAAAGCGCAAAAGTTTCAAAAACTTGAGGGGTGGTTAATCAAATCTGATTCAGGAAGGGGGAATAATTTTATGCTTCCAATGTTAATATCTCTCAAAGTTCCTTTTGGAGTCCAAAGTTGAAACGAATTGGCCAAATATTAAGGTTATTATAACATTTTGTGCCCTATGGCACTATCAGGCTTAAAGAGTTAAGCAACTGCATGTACATGTAGAAGTATTTCTACTCACCCCTGGATGGAATGCTTGTCCATCGTGGGTTGTAGCTAAGAAAATACATGTAGTCTCCCGCCAAGATTTTTCTCGAGCCGGTCTCCATATTTCGCAAGAAACCTGGAACAAAATTTTCAACCCCAATCTTTTGCAACGTCTTGAATGCAGGGCTACCAAGCTTCATGTTTGCACGATGGCGGACACAGTACTTGGAAAGAGAACTCACTAAACAACTGCTCAAAACAGTATTTTATAAATTTCAATTACTTTACTTGTTACAGTGGCACTGATACTCGAGGTAGTCAGGGATATGCATTTTTGCATTTCTAAACTTTTCATTTCGACGGTTTGATGTGGTTCAGATATCAAATGATTGTATGTGCGTAACCTAAAAACCCAGTGATTGCCCACCAAAATCCAGCCAGCAATCACCTCTTTCTCAGATGGTGAATTTTGCTGGCAGCCGGGCCTTAGCGACAACCAGGGCTGTCCATGATAAGGTTACTACCAGCTTTAAATTTTTCCAGAGCTGGGTAGAGCGAGCCACAATGCCCCCGGTTGGGGATTTAATGCTGATCGCTCAATCTGGATTGAGTACACTAATCATTAGGCAAATAAAATACAACTGATGACCAAACGTATTTAAACCACCGTCATAGAAAGAAAAATACTAAGTATTAAATACTTAGGATTATATGAAGTAAACTTTTAATTAATTTAGTATCAGAATCCTTGACTATTGTGTAATGATGCCATGGACAGTGAATTATACCTGGGAAAACTTAACCACTGTTGGGAAGATCATTGCAGAGATATGGTATGTAGGCTTTACATCTGGCAGTCCATAAATGTCCTCCCATGACGGTAGATTCCCTCCCTAAAGCACAAAATAATTGCCTGTACCCCCTCCTGGCAGTGTCTTGGGTGTAAAATGCCTCACCCTCTTCCGTGGTAGTACAGACCGAGCACATCAAGGTCTGTACAAAAATGGCACAGGGCCAATAGTCCCAAGTATGGCTCAAGCAAGCAAGGCTAGTATTAAGTAGTTTATTATGTGAGATTCGAAAGCAAAAAATACACAGCTTTTGACCTTTCCATGGAAACAGTCCATTCAGAAACCTTTGATTTCCTTTAAGACTGAAAAAAATTACTCCTGCTTCTGAAACACAACATGTATAATGTGTCAATCGATACAGACTCTTTCTAGCTAACAAAAGAGATTGTAATTTTTCTCTCTTGCAGATTATGATAAGAAGCATTTTCCTCTATCTTGATAGAACATATGTTCTTCAGAACTCTACAATATTGTCCCTATGGTAAGAAAAACTGTTATTTGAAAAAAACCTGTGAGCCTGGGAATAGTGCAAGTAACTTTGCTAATGATGCATGTAAATGTAAATTATCTATCAAAGGAATTTTTTGGCAAAAAACAAAAAAACAATATATAATGCTGTTAAAATTCTGGGTAATATCACAGACCTGTTTCACAAAGAAGCAAGTCAAGTTTGACTTTATCCATGATCTGGCACAAAACCAACATACACCAATTTCAAATTATATGATTGGGAATTTATTTAGCTAGATGTCAGTTTGCAGCCCCCTCCCTCCACCTTCTCTTCTTTCTCCTCCTCCCCCGCCAAAAAAAATTAAGTGTGTGTATTTTCCCTGAAATTTAGCTAACTTTTCTTTAATAGTTTTGCATTGAACAGTTATTAAGAGCAATAAAAGGTGTGAATGTCAGCAGGCTGATGAATTTTACAGCTCTTCTTGGAAAAATTCACGTACAGTGTACCTGTCTTGCATAATTTCAAAGATCTCTCAGTCAGTGTTGAGAGTTCTCTCATGATGGACACCATGTCATATTTTTTTTGCTAGGCTAAAAAAGCTAGAGGCTCATATAGGGCTGTGCTCTAGAAGTGCCCGGTTGCCACAGGCGACTAACTTTTGCCCTTGGGTAACAGGAAAAAAAATCACTTTCTTCATATAAGCTTAAGAGCTGGTCACCGAGGATTTCAAAATTTTTCTTAGACCACAGCCTTGTCAAAGAAAGTATCCAAGTGTTTTTAGACATGTCATCTTGCCTTCTTGAAGTTACCACTCTCCACCAGGAATACTGTAGACGTGGTGTCAAAGCAAAATGTCATTTCGGCCTGTACATGTTCTGCACTTGTTACATTTTGGTTAAAAACTGAATTTGAACACATGTTCCACTGATGTTCCTTCATAAGAAGTATCAAGACTTATGAGTTTTCATTTCGTTATCTACAGGGATATGAGCCTGAATTTGTTCCGTAGACACATTCTGAGTAATCCAACAGTTCAAAGCAGAACAGTAGATGGATTACTGCAGTTGATAGAAAATGAAAGGTGACAATTTATTATAATAAACGATTTGATCTTTTGTTATTTTCGGTTGCAAATTGTACAAATTTGTTATTATATGGAGTATCGGCAAGCAGAGAGATCTTTTATGGTACATGTATGTACATTGTACTTGTCACTTTATGTACTAGCACATGACATCATGTGAAATAAAATGTACTGAGTTCTAATTTATTTGTTAATTCTAGACATGGCGAGGCAGTAGACAGAACGTTACTCAAAAGTTTGTTAAGAATGTTAGCCGACTTGCAGGTACTTAATAATACCACTATGTGCATGTTGTAGCTGTTCAGAAGTTTAATCTGTTTAATAGTGATAAAATAGTAATTGGTTCAATACAGTAGATCTATGCAATGAAGTTTACCTATGGAGATACATGAACACGTAGCCCAACAACAGTGTTTTTTCTTTCAAACAGTTACAAATATCTTTATGCTGTCTCTTTGTTGACAATTTTTCTTTTCTTTATTCTTGTCACCTATGTTGCAACATTACACTGAACAGGGGTTTCGTTAACATTTTCAGCGGGAGGGCAACTGGTTTTCACAGACGTGCAAAACTTTTTGAACTGAGTTTCTTTATAAGAAAAACTTTCCTCTAGATGGTTAAACCAGGCAGGCAAAGTCATCCTCTTAGCCGGTCAGTTTTCCTGGTGCCTGAAACCCCTGAGTGAAACTAAAGGTTTGATTTGTAAACAAGTTATACTGATGTCTTTGGCTAGATGTATGAGGATGCCTTTGAAACAAAGTTCCTGAAAGCAACTGAAGCTCTTTATCATGAAGAAGGAAACAGATATATGCAGGAAACAGATGTAAGCTACCATTTCTTCCAATACTTGTACTCTAGGGGACGGATTAATAATACAGGGCTCAAAAAAAAACTTTAATTCCAGCTTGCCCCTCAGACAACCAGCTCTCAAATTTTCCTTTTCCTGGGTAAGTCTTAGTTTACTTATTTTCATATTTAGTTGGCAGGCTTGCCTGGGCCCTTACTCATCAGGCAAGTGAGAAAGAAAAGTTACTTGCTCTGTAGGAAAATCTACTTGTCCTGGATGACCAGACAGCACTTTTTTTGAGCCCTGATAACAATGATGAGATAGACTTGCAGTTGGTGAAGCTACATATAAACATCTCTTTATGGACAACAATTTTAGTTGCTAGCTCATACTTTCTCTTTCAAATTAGGTCAATTACAAATTGGGGTGGTGGGGGAGGGGGGGGGGAACAGACATCAGAAAGAAGCCCACTATTTTTTGTTGGTTTTTGTTGGTAAGACACCAGCAAAGGAATGGAAATTCTGTTGTAGCATTTGTTCACTTGCCCAGGCTAGTCATAATCCTTTGAGAAAGTACAAACTGTACGGCTGTAGGTCACCAAGAGAGTGAGTACCCTCACAATTCCGAGTAGGTTTCTGCCCCCGCTAAAAAGTGCTGAACAGCATTAATGTTGTAACGAATGTTCCTCAAGGCTCGACAAGGCTATTATATATTGTCCATTGTTAGCATGTACACATGTAATGAAATAGTCTTTGTTTACATTGGTCTTGAAATGTTTCAGGTACCCAAATATCTTGCACATGTGGACAGAAGATTAAAAGAAGAAAATGACAGACTGCTTCACTATTTAGATCAATCCACAAGGTAAGTATCCATTAAATGCTTTTTAAATCCTGTAATAAAGTAAATGTACATTCAACTTATAGCATCATTTGCTGACTGATGGACAGACAGGCAGGTGGACGGATGGGCAGGTGGATGCCAATGGAGTGATTAACTGACAGGCTAAGCTACTGACTGACTGATTGACTGTCTCTTTTTGGATTGATGGGCAGACAGGTGGGCGGGCGTACAGATGGGCAGGTGGGTGGATGTACAGAGGTGTGGACAGACAGACAAATGGACAAACTAACTGGCTGATTGACCAAGTTATTGACAGGCTGATTGACTGATCTTGTGCTACATTTTTTTTTTCTTTTTTTTTTTTTGGCATTTAGAAAACCTCTTATCCCTTGTGTTGAGAAGCAACTTTTAGGACAGCACTTAAGCAGCATTCTTCAGAAAGGTATGGTATCAATCATGTGTCATTAAAATGTTCTAACATTATATTCCTCTTATCACATGTGTTCTTGTCAAGGTTTTGGTGGCAAAGAGAGAATTAGTCCTCATTTTATGTTGATAATGTTGGGAAATGATTATTACAACATTGCTAATTGAAAATGATTCCCCAAATGCTGCAATAAGAGATTATGTTTTAGACTGGATTTCAATTGAGTGTCGTAAAACTAAAACCAAACAAATTACGTACCAGTAATTAGACTCCTCAACCAATCCCAAACCATAGTAAAACCAAAACCTAAACCAATGTAATTATGTACCAATTACATGGAGACTCCTCAGCCAATCCCAAACGTTTGTAAAGCCAAAACCAAAGTAATTGCTTCTTTTCATTCGACACTCGATTGAAAAGGGCTTTACGTGTGCTTTGTGTCTTCCTTCAGGTTTTGACAGCTTGATGATAAGTTACAGACTCAGTGACCTGGCACTTCTTTATCAGTTGTTCAGTAGAGTCAAGAGAGGCCAAGACGAACTGTGTGCTGCTTTCAATGAATACATCAAGGTACTTGAATGTATTTCAAGGATATAGGAATGGTCATGCTTAGATTTTGATGACTAAAATTTAGTCCTCTTTTCTCTAAAATGGTTGCTACTAAGACAAATTTAATTTGTCTGAGTTGCACCCATTTATAGAGAGAGGTTGCCGAAAGGTAATTTCTGAAAACCTTGAGCTGGGAGCACTGATGTGCTTACACTGTACCTTGAATGGAACACATGTAACTTCACAAAGACGAAATTTGCTTTTCTATTACAAAGTTCAATTTTTTAAGAAATTTCCTGCTACGTGTATAACTTAAGAGTGGACTATATGCATGTAAAGTGTACAAAGTAGGAAGCCTGCAGCTAACTGAAACTGGCCAATCATGGTTTGCATAATTCCTTGAGTGTCTTAAAAATAAACCTAATGCTTATTTTTCCTTTTGCTCCAGAAACAAGGCACTAGTATTGTCTTGGACCCTGAAAAGGACAAGAGCATGGTACAGGATCTGTTGGATTTCAAAGAACAGCTGGACAGCATCATAGAGGATGCTTTTATGCGAAGTGAAAAGTTTGTGAATTCAATGAAGGTATTGTACACATGAATGTTATCACCTACATGTATATTCTGTAAGTTAATTAAGTTACCAGTAAGTCTACAAGATGCAGGGGTTTCAGTAATACCTTGACACTGGGTAAATTGATCACCTGTGCAGACAATTTTGCCTGCCTGGTTTGACCACCTAGAGGAGAGGTTTTCTAAAAAAGAAGGCAAGTTCAAAAAGTTTTGCCAGTTGTAAAAACCAGGTGCCATCCTGCTGAAAATGTAAATGAAAACCCTGCGAGATGACTGACTGGAACACATACATGTACATGTAGCTTTGCTCGGTGATGTGTTCAGCTCTTGTTACCCTAAATTGTATATGAGGGATAAATTGTGTTCCTGATAAAATAAAAAAAATTATTAACTTATTTACCAGGAAACTAAGGAACCATCTTGATGACTTACACCAGTCTGTTTTTTTTTTCTCATTTGATTGGTTACATGTATATGGTACTGTCACAAATTTACTGTATAAATTAAGCAGCTTGTATACATGTACATGCATGGTCATTTCAAACTTTTCCAGGATTCTTCAATTCTTCTTCATAACATGGGAATATGTGAGTTGTACTCACACATTAATTTTTTTTTTAATCAAACAGACAGTCTCATCAAAAAAATGTCAGACACAGAAGTGCCATGCAGTCAGAACTTGCTCATTTACGGTGTACATTTACATAGATATTAATGTGGGCTACATGTATTAATGATATTCTTTGGTTTCATTTTTATGTGCTTTCATTGTAGGATGCCTTTGAAGCATTTATCAACAAAAGACCAAACAAGCCAGCGGAACTGATAGGTAACTGCATATGATTCTTGAAGCTTTACATATTACATTAAACTAGATCCATGGCTCAGTAATCTAAAGTAATTCCATATTATAATTACCCCTAAAAGTCCTTTGATTAGGTATAGTAATTGGACAGAGTGGAGTACAATTCAGGCAGTAATCACGTGAGTAATTTCAAAATCGGACGAGCGCGAAGCACAAGGTCGATTTGAAATTAAGAGCATGATTACTCCCTGAATTGTACGACACAAGGTTCAATTACTAATTAATTGTATCTATAACAAATTTCTGAATTAAACATGTCTTTTGAGAGCTTCTTTTGAACAAAAACGTCTGTTTCTCTTTTCATGTTTTGAAAACTGTAGGAAACATCACGAAGGAAGCCATTAAAGCACGCATAATTGATGTGCGAACCACATGGGTATCCAATTACAGTTATCCCATTACAAAAGGTTCAAATTAGATACCTGTAATTGGACACCCATGTGATCATGCGCCGATTACGTGACAAATAGGCACGCAGAGAACCAATGAAGATTGAGAATTTTGTTATAGATACGATTAACTCTGATCTAGGGGTTTATGTGATTCCTTAATATGCTTATGTGTGCGTCTTAATCTTTCAGTATGTGGCATCATCAAACATGTAGAGAGAGAGATTAGTCCTTCTAGTTTGCCTTTGGGCTGAACGTTATTCTGAGTTGAGCTGGTGCTACATGTACAGTGTATATTCTTATGACCTTTGTACACGTAATTATATTTTCTAAACATGTGATGAACATGGAGGATTTTATTCTTTCTTGGGGCATTTTTGTTTTCAGAAGTTCATACCACATTTATGACTCTGTCAAGTGCTGACTTATTTGTTTTTTCCTTCACCTCTGACAGCAAAATTTGTTGATTCCAAGCTAAGAGCAGGAAACAAGGTAAACAAGTTTAATGAGTTGATTACACTAGTTGACTATTGTTTGAATATGAGTAAATAAAAATTTCTTGTTGTTACTGCATACAAAATGGAAATTTTCAACAGGATTTGCTTAATTGATGTTTCATAATTTACTTGTGGTCAGTAAGGAAATAACAGTGCAGCATGCTCACTGTAACAATTTTTTTTTTAAATTCTTTAGGAAGCAACTGAAGAGGAACTTGAAAAGCTTTTAGACAGAATAATGGTGCTCTTCAGATTTATACATGGTATGAAGTACAGTAAAACCTGTATTAGGCAGACACCCTCAGGACCTTTGAACATTAGTGTCTGCTTAATACAGGGTGTCTGTTGAAAACAGGTTCCCTTACAATTCAACTTAAAAGGGTCATATTGATATTCATCACCACGAAAAGGCTTTGAAAGGGTCAAATACATGTAACATTCTTGTGAATGGTCGATAATTGTTAAATACCATATTTCCATAAACAGTGACAAGTATATGAGGTTTAAGGTGGCAGCAAATTGAATGCTAGGGTTATCCTGCCATGGACTTCCATCCTATCAGGGGGGGCGGAGAGTAAAAGTGCAGTACTTCTAGTTCCAGCAACAGGACACACTTTCGCCCTATGCAGACTTAACATGACTTGTTCATGTATTAGGCCCTATGTACGAACTGCGGACCTATTTTTTTTAATCTCATTGTCCTGTTTACTGTAGGTAAAGATGTGTTTGAGGCATTCTACAAGAAAGACCTGGCCAAGAGACTGTTAGTTGGCAAGAGTGCTTCAGTTGATGCAGAGAAGTCAATGCTGTCCAAACTAAAACAAGAATGTGGTGCAGCTTTCACTAGCAAGCTTGAAGGAATGTTTAAAGACATGGAGCTTTCTAAGGACGTGCTTCTTCACTTCAAACAGGTGTGGGAAAACCAAAAAGTTCATGGAAGTTGTTTGGAGTTGATATTTAAACTGTATTATAGGTTCACTTGATCGAAGATTATTGTCCCAAACCAGACAGAAAAAGTAAATTATTATCACGGATGTTGGGCCTTTCAAGATGCGGCAGTGATTTACTGGCGCGGCGAAATTCTCCTATGTAATATCTGTAAGGAGGGTCAGTAGACAGGGATAAAGGATTGTTGTTGTTGTTGTTGTTAGTAAGGAGAACCGGTAATTTAATCAGGAATTGAATTATGATAACAGTGTTAGATTCTTGCCACTGGCTTAACACTAAATGCACATTGTGTCCAGACCAGTAAGGAACATTGATTGCCTTATAAATAGTGCATGCACAGGACTCCAGATTCAGCGGTCAAGTGTCAAGCACTAGCTGAGATCATTTTGTTGTGTTCATGTGCAACTTAACTGTGCTTCTCTCCACCCTGGTACATGGTAACAATGAATGAAAAACGACTGATTAAGGGGATATTTCCAAAACTTCCCGTCAACATGTCAAGCTCTGGTCCTGCAAAGCCGTGTTAACAATGAAGGATTTTATGGGGGAGGGAGAGGGAGGCAGGGGACGGGGGGACGGGGAGGAAATCCTGCCATCTAGGAGTAGACATATTCTTAGTCCCTTGTGCTTAAGTCTTAGCCTGCTGGTCCGCTAGGTTCGACTGCAGACCTGCCCGACAACTTTACATGTTACAACCAGCCGTCTTTTGCCTTGCAGTACCTACAGCACCAGGACCTTCCAGGCAGTGTGGACATGGTAGTAAGCATCTTGACAATGGGCTACTGGCCTACCTACACTCCAGTGGAGGTGCATCTGCCGTCTGAGGTAATGTCAATTCTGTCTTGGTAGAAAGTTTGAAAGGAGCTAATACTCGGATGGTCTTTGGGAACGTTATATAAGCAGTGCAAAGTGCAATTAATGTGCAATTAATGCTCGTGAATCTTGTGTCGTCCACACTTTTTACAACACCTTTTGAGAAACAATTTTGGTTTTTTTTAAGTTTAAATTTGAGTTGTACCCTCAGACCATAACACAATACAGTTTTGGGAACGGAAATTTGAGTTAAAAGTTTCCATTAGAAAAAAACAAATGTTTATGTCTTATATGAGCCACGTTACACTTGCTTACTTGGTTATTTTGATGTTTTCTGGAAGTCTTCCTCTTACATGACTTCATATCATAAGTAGAACCCCTTGTTAACTGCCCTGTCTGTGATTTCAGATGGTTCAATACCAAGAATCATTCAAGACATTCTACATTGGAAAACATGGCGGTAGAAAACTTCAGTGGCAGAATACGTTGGGACACTGTGTAGTCAAGGCTGACTTCGGCCCTACCGCGGAGGCGAGTCTTTGTTAAAATCGAAGTTTCGCTTATAAAGGGTTGGCACCACTTTTCATGTGCAATTCCCTTGGGGAGCGAAGGAGCGCTATGGCTGGTTGTGTTGTCATTTTGCACGAGCCACGAGGCTTTGTATAAAAACACGGTTATATCGTGTCATTGCATTTTGTTGGTTTTATTTCGATGATGAAAATAGAAAAAGTCCGCTTGCTTCCTTGACCTGATGCTTCAAGACTCCCTCAAATTTTTGGAGAATTAAAAAGTATTCAAATCAACCATGGCTTGTGAGCGAATTCACCCAACTTCCTCTTGTGTTTTTTTTCTCCTCTGATGTACGTGTTAAAAGACTCATAAATAAGAAAGATTTTAGTCATGTTTATTAGCGAAACGATTGTCTTCCCAAACCTGATTGCAATCTGTGTTTCAATAAGTGAGCTATTGTAAGACGTTTCTCTATTACATTGTAGGAGAAGAAGGAGCTTCAAGTGTCATTGTTTCAAACCTTGGTGCTGTTAATGTTCAATGAAGGAGAGAGATTTGTTCTGGACGAGATCAAGCAAGCCACGGGAATAGGTGAGAACTTCAAGCTTTACAATGCTATGCGGAAAAAAATACAGTAAAATTTGAAATAAATCGTCTTTACAGTCTTGTTACCGACAAACCTATGGCCCTTGGATTCCGTACTGAATTGGAATTTAGAAATGTTTGTTTCTATGGGTAGAAGAAAACCAACAACAAAACTCGATTACTTGTATGTATGACCTCCTAAGTCTAAATTATTGCACAGAACTTTGTACAGTAAAATCTCATAACCCCTGCTAGCCTTGAGTAAACAATGACGGATTGTGAGCTCTCTGTAAACTTGAGACAGCCAGTATTTCGCTCGTGTCGTCTCTGAGCTACATTCTGGCCAGCTTCGATTTTCCCTTAGAAAAGACATGTAAACGAGTACTCTGCGCATGTTCACTCAATCGGCCCGCTGACCACATGTTTTCAGGTTCAATCGTCCAGCTCCAACTTATCGCCAAGTTAATTGTTCCAGGAAACGGTTTGCCCAGTTATCAAAATTTTCAGGATGGTGGCTCGACTGCTGAAAAACGGCAAAAGAAGAGGAAGTGTGACACAGGAGAGATGCTATTGACTGGGTTTTTGTTGTTTTTGCAGAGGATGGCGAACTAAGACGAACACTACAGTCCCTTGCTTGTGGTAAAGCGCGTGTTCTCATCAAGAAACCCAAGGTACGCAAGACTCGATGATTATCACTGTCCTTTATGTACCCAGAGAGTCTAAAATGGGTGCTGGACTTTCACTTGTCTCAGCTATGATTTAAACAAATTTCTCATCTCCCAGTAAATTTTGCAGATCTCAGATCTTGATTATCTGGCAAAAAGCGCGTTATATTATTCCTCAGCTGACATTGAACAGTTTCTCTAATTCTCAGCGAGCAGTTAAAACCCATCCAGGCCCTCTACCCACACTAGAGCTCTAAGCCCGCAATAGCGGGCCTCAGCGGTAGTCGTTCAACAGGTTGTTTTTGTCGCGCAATCGCTCTGTTTTGTCGGTGTAGATGGCGATGTTTTGCGTGCGAGTGCTTTGTTTCTGCGAGGGAGCCGCGAACGTGATTGTTGTGACAGAATTTCCTGCTCTGATGTCACAAATCTTTTAGGGAAAAAAACACTATTTTCTTGCGGGACACAGCGGGTAATCTCGAGCGGGAAAGATAGCGGCAGCTTGGGTAGCCAATCACAGCGCAGGATTCAGTTTATTGTGCCCGCTCATGGAGCTAGCCATAATAAGAAACTGTATGTCATCTTGTGGGTCTTTCTCCTTTCTTCTGACCGTGTTTTCCTTCTCTCCTTTCTTTGTAGGGCCGTGATGTAAATGACGGCGATCAATTCTTCTTCAACAACGAGTTTAAACATAAACTCTGTCGAATCAAAATCAATCAGATACAGATGAAAGAAACGGTGAGAATGAAGCCTGTGTGTTCACACTGTGCTCACGGTGTGAGAGAAAAAGACTCGTCGCCAAAATCAGTGTGGTTACGTCGGCGACACAAGGCGATTTCTTCCTATTGCTTGGAAATAATCTGCGAACTGATAGTTACGATATACCGCCGTATTCTAAACCTTTATTTCTTGTATTAAAAAATTAAGAGTAAACGATAGATAGATTAGTGGCCATGCCCTCAAACAAAATCTACGGGTATTTTTTTCGTTATTGATGTTGTTTCGAACTTCTTGTATGTAACACAGAATTCGTGTAAGAGCCAGACTACAAGTAGTCCCTCTATCGCTTAGTCCGTCGAGAGTAACCGTAAATAAACTGCGAGGAAAAATTCCCGCGCTTAATCCTTTCGCGCGCTTCTTGTTCCCAGGATTTCGCGCGGCCATCTTTTTCTCTCGGTTTTCTTTCGCGTCACGCACAACGGACAAAGAGAATGAGGGACTACCCGTACTCTATATAATAACTTACCTTAGCTCTTTTGAGCATACCAAAGATTCAGCCTGGCGCGATAGAAGTGTGTCGCTTCTGCCTGTTGTTTGCTTCAAAACCAAAACTATTTTTTTCCCTTCTTAGCAAGAGGAAAACGTCAACACAACAGAACGAGTGTTCCAAGATCGACAGTATCAAGTGAGTGGATTTTCGTTGCTATTTTTGTACTTTTTCCTCTCTTTTGGATGGTGGTGTCTGGGTCAGTGTTTGATACATTGCATGAAGCTGTGGTGTGTTCCTATTGATCTTTCTGAATTCTAGTCTGTCTGATAGTCAAGTAGTGGGTTGTCGTCTGCACATAGTTTTTAGAGGAAAATGGTTATGAAGCCCGGCAAACATGAAAGGAGCAAACAAAGATTTCAAGATTTTTGTTGGAAGGTCCACGACAGTGCACAATCTTTTGTTTTTCGCTCATACACTATGCATAAATTACGTAACCAGAATGTTTCTGTTGGTTAGTTCCTCAGTACGAAGCAAACTAATATTGAGTTTTGTGCACGGTCAAGGCCAAAAAAGAGAACAAAAACATACAACA